AAATCGTAAGAGGGACTGACCTGAATGGAGACAAACATTGAGACAAAAGGCATCCCGATTTGGAGCGAGAAATCTGTCATGGATGTACGAGTCGTGTGCGAGTGAATGGTCGGACCCGCGGGATCGGACTGTTGTTGTCGCAAAGAACGAACGAGCTCTATTGAGACGGAGAGGAGCACAAATCCGGCCAAGATGACGCCCAACGGAAGCAAACCAGTTCTGATCGGTTGTTCCAATGCTGTCCACTAAGTTTCGACCATAGGAGGAGAATTACACAGATATAAAACTAAAAGTTTGTTGCACATTTTTAACAATCAACTGTGACAATCACACTTATATCTACAAACACTGGTGACAAGCATCGAAGATGTTGCCGTGAACATACAGCAGGAACAAGAATTCACAGTTCCTCTAGTGCACACATTCGCATTTTTGACGTTGGTTCCATCTGTGGGCGTGTGTGCAATTGCTTCTTATTGTCTAAAATCGATGTGTTACAGTAGCACAATAAGCTAGCATACGTCTCAAGTCAGTTAAGTATTTGCTTTATGCACCCCGAACGGTGGATATTCGGCAGAATAAGCAGGATCAGAACAGTGCATTCTGGTCATGTGGTGTAAATTCTCGTCGCCAGCGGTGCTCACCTGCATCGGTTGGCATACCGTCCCGTTGACTCAAGTGATATCTCGTCGAGCAACAAAAGATCGTCTTTTCACTATGGCAGATGGAGAAATGCAGGGTTGGACCAAACGACCCGACGAGCTCATTTACAAAGCACGGTCGACAACGACAGTGCAGAGTGACAGGAACAGAGTTTTACTCTTGATGAGTTTTATTCCACTGGGAATTACTGAGATCATTCTGTGCATGGAACGCTAAAGCTTGGGGGGCAAGAACAGGGCAAACAAAAATTAAACCTGTTCTCCAGGAGTACGAAAATCGCCTCCGAAAGCCTGGGTATGGTCGGAGGTGGGTGTCTAGGGTTGCAGCTGGTCACAATTCCCTTGCACCTTATTCATGACTAAAAATTTCCGTTTGTGTTAAACAAAAACTACCAGGAGCACTTACCCCGATAAAATCGAATTCAGGCGAGCATGTGTACAGTCGAGTGTGGAAAGTGTGAAATTTACCACCAGGTTGCAATTTTTCCCGTAGTATATCCACGATGTGCCCACCGTCATGTTCGGCCTGTCCGAAGAATGTGTTGATCAGGACCAGTAACACAACAGTTGTGGCTAACGTGACCAGTCCCGGCAAAATGATACAACGAGCGATTCGGTTCAGACCACAACCTAGCCCGTCGATCCGGTCAGCCGGTGAATCGGCACCACTGTTGGACGGTGCTGACGGGAACGCAAACCGAGAAGGCAAAAACAAAATGGATGATACACCAGTCAATGTCCCAGCAGATCCATGGCATCATGGAATTCGAACATTTTTTGAATGCATAATACGATAAACCAAGTGGTATATAAAGAATCGCGTCTGTAGACTCAAAACGCCAGAGTCCGTAAAGTTTCACGCTTAAGGATATAGTAAAAATATACGGCAATATGGAATTGGATTGCTCTGAGACACAAAGCACATGGCTTTCGTTCAGGCGCTCGACGAAGCTGGTTGAACTCGGATCATAATAATGCACACGCTCTCCCGACTGGTAGTTAACATGCTCCTAGAGAAAATGACCGGTCTGTTCTGGTCTAGTCGGTCAATACGATGTGTGAGGTGACTGAATCACTCTTTCTTGAGTCGCGCATCCACTGAACAGTGAAGTCCGGTCTGTCATTCACAAAATCATTCTGAACATGAGGCAAAAAATCTCTGCACAAAGTTGACTATTTCACAATGCCATCCATCCGCACTCATGTACGCCACGAACTATGGCTACCACGGTTAAAGACGGTAAGGAAACTAGAGACTTTCGATTGCCGGTGCCTCTGTAGTATCCTGAAAGTTCACTGCTATGGTTGAATCTCTGAGGTCGGTTAGATGCCGATGCATTATCGTCGTTTTACCAACCCCAACTCTGATGGTCTGGTCATATCTTCCAACGATTGACAAGGGAGATCTCAAGTAGCAGCCTCCATTGCACACCCAGGGCAGGACGGTGGTCAGCTTAATATATGAGATGGAGGCTCTTGTATACGGACAACTAAGTAGACCAGAAACTTTGAAATTGTAAGAGGACAAGAACAGATGCTCAGACATCACTAGTCCAGAAATATTTGGCGCATCTAACCCCCGGTTACGCGGAGCTTCAAAAGGGGATAATCACCACGACCTAAGCTATTCATTTTTTCGGTTAAAATTGGCATTAATTCACAATATGTAGCGGTGTGATCATTGTTAACCTCCCAGTAGGTATCGAATACCTAAGAAAAAAATCATATATCGAGAAGGTCTGTCCGATTAAACTTGGCACGCGTATCAGCTATGGCAGTGTATGAAAGCTAAGCACTTCGATCGGGCATCGATGCAACTTTCACAATCTAAGACAGATCTGTGCTGCTAAGGGATGCCCAAATAAAAATGATGTCTCCGGTATTTTATACATGACGATTAAATCTACACAGAAAATCAACCGTAATTCGGTTTCCATCGTGTCCCCATAAGTAATGATTGAAATCTTTCTGCTTGACGAGGCTGAATTGCAAAGAATTTCACGCCGTTTTGTACTGTGGTCAACTGACACAAACGTTGAAACAGGGGATACAGCGACGTCCCTATTGCTTAATGAAGTTTCATATGCACTGTTTAACCATTAATTCCGCTGTCTATTATGTAGTCGAGGTACAAATACAAAGGTGAAAAGGCAGATAACCGTAAGACTGCATGCGTGGGTTTGTGCACCGAAATTAGGTTCAAAACTGCCCGATGAAACTGTAATTCCAGTAGTTCTTTTGAAATTAAGTCCATTCCCGTATCCCAAATTACTGGTCACATTATAAACGTGAAAGTTATCTTATAACACCAGAGGAAGTCAACGGTATTAACAATTTTCCCCGGGCATTTGTCACAAAACAGTGAAAACGAGCTTTTCCATCGTGTTTCACGATTTCCCCGTTAGGTGAAAAAGACTACTTTCACCCAAAACTGCCTATTTTTCAATTTATTTTTCCTAACTTAAATCTTTTGGTACTACTTCGGCTCTCATCGATTACTCCCAGCTGCTGGCCGGTGACTGACCCATTCTGTAAATTTTCTCATTTTCTGCTTTAATTTTCAATGCCTTTATGTCCAGAAACCAAGACGGTGTATATGCTGACGGTTTGATGCTGTGAATCTGGCTTGCTATTGGCGTGCCAATTACACGTTTATTGCTCACCGCCTTTGTTCTCATTTCCGTAGCTAGGAGAAGGCTACTGGTGCTCGTTGTACATAATTTGTGCTGTGATTGTAAAGTAACATTAGCGTCTTACCTCCAACTGTATCTATTGATGGAAAACTGTGTTATTAGAGGGACATCTGAGGGACAGAACATCTTCTATCAACCAGAATGTTCGAACATGACCTGAAACACCTTAGTCTTGGGAGAGAAAAATTACCACCCAGAACAACTGCACAGGATATGTTGTCACCATCCAGACTCACCCACTAAACTGACACTAACGTCTTTTCGACCAGGCTGCGGTTGTATCGATTAAATCTTCACTCTGTGTCAAATCTTCGAGCTACGCCATACGCACCGTCGACCAACGATTGTCGTATTCTTTGACCTAAAAAGTGCCTTCGATTCATTTGATTGTGAATCTCTTATGAGTTCGCTCCTTCGTAAAGGAATGCCGCAGAAGTATGTGAACATACTGAGGTCACTCTAATCGCATATTTATGGCAGCACAAGGGTAGGTATTGCACGGACAGCTGGAGAAAAGCTGTGCTACCTAGAGTACGCTGACGACATCGATTGCCTGTTCGAATGTATGGAGGACGCATAAAGAGGACTTGACAGATTAGCAAGTTCTATCGCTCCGTTCGGCGTGCGCTTTGCACCTTCAAAGTGCAAAGTGATGCTGCAAGAATGGGTGTCGTCCAGTTCTGTTTTGAAACTAGACTGTCGGGAATTAGCCGAAGTTGACTGCTTTTCGTACTTAGCTGCCTGACCAACGACGGTAGCACATCAAAGGAAATAACCACGCGCATTTCCAAGGCTCGAGCAGCGTACGCAGGACTTAAACTCCTGTGGCGGCGACCTGACGTTGCACTGAAGTTGAAAAGTCGCGTATGCTGCTCCACTTTACGATCAGTTCTGCTTTATGGTTCTGAGACCTTGAATTTGAGGGTGGAAAACATCCATCGCCTAGCGGTTGTCGACAATCGAAGTTTACGTAATCTGGCCCAAATGGGATGGAGTGAGCGGGTTAGTAACCTGGAGGGGAATGCATCGAACACGAACTCGCTATCGCATCAAGTTCTGCTCAGTAGACTCCGTTGGTTACGACAAGCTTTGAGTATATTCGACAGTCGACAGCCTACTGCAGGTGTCTATCGTTTTCCGGGTTGTGGTTCAAAAGACTCCGTAACCGCATGATTGGAGACATTGAAGGTTATTGCTGCGAACCGATGGCAATGGCGATCTTGCTACCACTTCATATCAAACCAGAATGCTTGAAACAGTATGTATGCACAGTTAGACTGCCGCTCCTACTGGCCAACACCCGTGGACATGGACCATGCTCCGCTACGAGCGAGATTCCCCTTAACCCTGGTAAACAACCTCAGAAAAGCCACCGAAAAAGGATGCCCAAGATACAATGTCAGCAATGGTTGCAAATCACCCTTCGAAGCGGAACTATCAGATCACCTCTCAGCTCAACCATCAGCCGGAGGACTCAGTGAGCACTGGACGGCAATCAAGGAAGCGATCCACATTTCAATCAAAACAACGGCAAATTCTGATGCATGATCAAATAAAAAACGATGAATCTCCCTGACCTCGATTGCCCTGCAGATTCAAAATACGACAAAGCGCGAAAATCCCTTAAACGCCAGCTCTGAGAAATGACGGTGGGAAGTGGTGGGTTGGAAAGTGTAGAGAGGCGGAGAAGGCTGCGGTTGTCGGTAATAGTCGTAATCTTTTCCGATTATTTAGAAGTGCAGGTCCAAGGAAAGCAGGCGTAAGTGTGGCTATTAAAGAGTCCGACGGCGCACTGATTCATATTCAGCAACGCTGTCTAGATCTATAGGCAGAACATTTTAAGGCTCAGTTCAGCCGGCCCTCGTCAGCACAAGACCTCCTCACACCTGGTTGAACTGTGCAAATACTGCCAGTTGAAATCATTCCTTCTTCTGAAATGGAGGTTTCCCAAGAAATAAGCTACCTTAAAAAGTATAAGGCTTCCGGCCCCGACGGGCTGTCCCCATCGGTTTTTATGGATAGAAGTTCAACATTGGTTTTGGAGCTAACAAAACTCCTGGGTTCATTCTGGGAAAGGGATCAGATTCCAACTGAATGGTGTGAATCGGTGATCATACCGATTTACAAGAAAGGTGACAGGTCCTCTTGTGAAAACCACAGGAATTAGCCTAATCAACATTGCTTCTAAACTTCTCGTCGGCATCACACTCCGTCGATTGTCTGCCGCTCGCGAAGAGTGCACACGTGAGAACCAGGCTAGTTTTAGACCTGGTCGAGATTGTACCGACCAGATCTTCACTCTTCGTCAAATTCTAGAACACAGACACTTTTCGTAGACCCACCATTTCCATCTGCCTCGACCTGAAAGCGACTGACGAAATGCACAGAGCGATTAGGTAGAGTAGGTATCTCTCGTCATGCTGTCACTTTGTATCAGTACAGAGTGCTTGAACTAGTATGTATGCACAGTTGGGCTGTATACTCTGTGTGTTGACCATAGAGGTTCGCTTTCTTTTCCAATCCCTAAAAATAAGCCCAATCCCTGTGCTTCTTACGCACTCTCACTTATCTTGTATGCATTATGAGTTTGGCAGCGATCAGTGGAGTTCGTTTCACTGTATGACGCCGTACATTGATGATGATGACTAACGTCTTCTTAATCCAGATCAATGCGAGTGATACAACAAAACGTCCCATAAAGACCCAATATTGTGCGTTCTTTTCGCGGTATGTGTTAAACGAAGAGGTATCTAGGTAATCACATCGTCTCCTTTGTAGGGTATTTCGATGTAGACGTCTTTTTTCCAAGCTAATAGGGAAATGGGCAGACGGTGTTTGTATTCCGTAGGGTAGAAACTCCTGAAGTGTAGATACTGTCCTGTTCATGTAGGTTTTTGATACACCGATATTTGAAGCTTCCCATCTAACAATCGATAAAGTAATAAGTCAAGGAATGGAAGTTTGAATTCGAATTCACATTCTAATGTCAGTTTAAAATTGGGATGCAATCAGTTCAACTTATGAAATAATGTCTGGATATCTGAGTCGTTTCGCTCAAAATCTAATGTATCATCGAAATATCAGGGATGTAGTAGAATTGAAATCAGTAGATAGCAGAGTCCAAACAAAGACAGCCTATTTTTATCCTGTTCCCGTAATAGCCAAATTTCTGTGCCGCGGCATATGCTCGAACCTTCACAGACAACCGGATGTCGCAGCGGCGCGACAGTTTTCTCAAGTTGGCAAATGCCAATCGAGTCTTCTGCATGCGTGCTGACAGTTCATCTGTGATGCGTCCGTCAGGTGAGATATAGTTGTCCAAGTAACAAAATCTGTCTACTTAATACACTACTTCCGAAGTTGGAGTGAGTCTGAGCAATTCCGATCCTGTAGCAACGTTTTACAATGTCTTTCTACGCCTTTTTACCAACTACTTCTCGCGGTTGTTCCTCAGACTCTTGATGAACTATTCCATAGGGCTACTTCTAGCTACATCAATTTGCTTATAGGTATTTCAATTTTAAAAAAAACTGCACATTGGGAACACAAATTCAGCCGCGAGGAAGTCTATTTCACTGGCATACACACATACACACGTACTTCGTTCACAGCCTCCTCGAGTGGGACATTTGCGAACAATGATATAATATTATGGGAGCCAAGAAAACACCTGTGGAAATCTACGTCTAGTATTGCTTATTTTAATTTAAATATGTCCTTCAGTCCGACCTAAGACATTTGGGCGCTTATTGGACTAATAAACTTCGCCAGCCGTTGCGCGACTGTGTTGAGGACAATTAACCATCGAGAGAGAGAGAGTACACGAAACTGATGTCCATTCCACTGACATTTTTTCTTGTGTTGATGAAATGAATAAAGGGAAAAAGGATGTTTCACACAATGCATTTATCTTACTATACTTCAATGAACCAAGTAAATGCTGCGAAGAAATTTAAATGATAACAGATTCTAATCACAGCTTCTTTATTTTAGATGACTACCATAATAGTTCATTTTAGAGTTTAAACCAAACTTGTTGTCAGACATGCGTGTTTCTGGACGATCGGCACAGAAAAATATAGTGTGTGATAAAACAATATATCAAAAAACTTGTGAATAATTCAACAGATTCAGAAGATCCGGCTTGAGAAACAAAACCACACCGTATAAGTACATGATACAAGAACCGGTAAACCTACCGTTCGGAGCTGGACTAACCGCTCCCGACGAGGGTGGGGTCATGAGACGGAGGAGCATCGTCAATCCGAGCCAAGCACCAATCAAACCAGGAAAGTACGTCGAGGTGAGGAGTAACGCATTACCAAACTGTAACAGATAACTGAGGAACAATGCGACCAAGTGGACGGTGATAATGGCACGAACCATGCGCACAAATGGTCCGTGATACGACGTTTTGGAACTGTTGGCCAATGTCAAACAACAGGCTACCAACAGAGAGGCCACTTGTGTGGATAAGGCGAACTGGGAAAATTGCCACGGAAGTTGGAAGCCTAACAGCAGTAAGCAGTAAATCACCGACTGAAACACGCTTGGGGACGACTTTTTGGTCGAGTAACACTGTGCATGAGAACAAATTGGAGTAAACAGCGGGGATAGAAAGATCAGTGTCCAGCGTTTTTCGCGGTGTAAATTGATTGATTTCGAAACTTCACATTCAATTTGAACGGGTTGACAACAGATCAGGCGAGATGTTCATCTTAATCGCGCACATTTTGATCTCTGTAACTACGAATTTGTTTTCGATTTTATTTTCGGATTATAAACGAATGTGCGATCTATCACATACAACATTCAGAGATATCAGTCGTTCAACAAGCTATCGTAAATACGTGATGGTGATGATTATCATTATCCGGTAGGTGCAGTTATATATTTACATGATTTGCATTCCTTAGACCGGTCTCGTGCGCGCTTCGGTCGCATGATCAAGGATTTATTATGGAAATAATTTACAAGCTCATGCCTTTCTCGTCCAATAGGTTCGTTTTGAGGTTAAAAGACACTGAAACATACAATTCCTTGTGTAAAATGTCACATGATACGGGCTTCCTCCACTGTTGTACGCAGCTTCACTTATCTTGGAACGTAAGTTGTGCTAATTCTTCATCGAGTCTCAGTTTGAAAGATCGAAAATGAACAGTTAGACTAGCCACAATCTGGCGGATGTTTTAAACATTGTACACGTAGCTGGTGCCTATTGGGACCTATTGGGTCCAGAACACAAGACAAGAAATGTTTACAAAATGAGAATGAATATTATTCATTAGGTAGCACGACGTCTTCCCTTGAATACATCGAGCGAAAAACGGACAGCTGATCTTTGAAATGTAGAAATTGGTAATCGCGAAGAAATTTCCTTTCGATGTATCGCATCAGGCGTTTACATATATGGGTTGATTATAGAACAGGCATCCGCCTCTGTCATCGTTACTGAGCTTTACCTGGCCAATCAGATACCCGTTCTATGATCAACTGATATATAAATGCCTGATGCGACATATCGAAAATAAATTTATTCACGAGTACCGATTTCTACATTGTCCATGGGACTATTTTACGATATTTGAAATGTTCCAACAGCATGGAGTGTCTCTTCAATGTCTCACGACCAGAGGGCGACTTCACAAGTGGTGGGAGTGATGCCCGAGGTGTGTGAGAATCCACTGACTGCACCGAAAGCATGCTTATGTATGGGAAAATAAAAGGAAAAAAGCTGGCACATGTGGAATGTAACGCCTTTTTTGTAAAGATTATTGCAACATGATTTGCTTGGCACAAAGTCTGGCCTCAGACATGTGTGAAATATAATATAAATGATGAGTGGCTGACTGAATCGGCGTCAATCGTCTTGAAACAAAGTAATTTCCATAAATTACACCAACTCCGTGGCAAAATGAACAAACCCAGCTCCGTTATCCGGTTCAGATTCGGTGGGAGTCGCTGGCCCAGAACTAACGTTTCCCACACGACGAGTCCGGGGTTCGAATCTCGGATGGGGTGATGAAAATGTACTTAATTACTTTACTTTACTTTACTGCCGCTGGTTCCTTGCAAAGGAGAAGCCCCTTCCAGACACGATCATGAAGTTCCTTGGGAGTTTGGTTTGAGAGACGTCCCCAGCGTCACTCGGAATTTTTTTTATTTTGAGAACGCACCTTTGCACCACCATTTGCGAACTGCAAGGCAGCAGGAAGTAAACCCTCACCTTGGAAGTGCGGGGGTCAATGACTTTAGTTTTAAAAGGCCAGTCACATCGACCCACACCGTCATTGGGACTATGCGGTTTTTAAACAGGAGCCAGGTGACCAACCTGAAACCCACCACACCCTGGGAGTGCCGCCGCTATTTGTTCGCGAATGTTTATTTTTTGCGGCATGCCACAACTTATTCACAGATAACCTTCTTCTGTGAAGGTATCCCCCTATCCACAACCCGGTAGCCTGGTAGCATTCAGCTCTGCTTAACCCGAGGGTATCAGAATGTACTACTGATAGACCATACAAAATCAAACTTGATTCTGGTGAATCCTCAAAGTATCGGATGAACTGAAGATTGTACGAGAAGACAGTACGAAAGACAGTAAATAAAAATCCACAATTAAACCAGGAACAGGAATAAGTCATTTTCCGCACAATGAACACTTGAAATTCAAAGCTAGTTCAATCTCGCTGGGTATTATCAACAATGCGACTGTTCCTCTCCAAAACCGAAGAAGATACTTACCGATTTGAGACGAGTAGTAATAATATGTAAGAGGAATGCTTGTTGAAGGACGAAAAACGGA